GTTTAAGGATTCAGATCTTGCACTCCAGGCTGGGAGTTTAAGAACAGTGGTTATTAAACACCCTGTACTGAGCGCCTAGTGGGAGGCAAGCCCTGTAGCAGACTGTAACTCCCCCCACCTACTACCCCTCACGGGGTGGGGGTGGGGCAGGAAACCCAGAGCCTTGTGCTTAGAAGGCAAGAGCTGCCACCCGAGTTCTCTCTCTAACCCCGATACCTGCACATGCTTATTGACCACTGGGGGAGCACCATCCTCCACGGAGTGTTTATAGGGTGTACTTGGGGGCCCATGGAGAAATATGGGGTCCAGGTGTAGAGCGTGGGCCACAGACACCGCCAGCACAGAAAGAGCGAACTCAGGTCCCTGGGTTTTATGGGTGAGGTTCTCAGCAATGGTGTGATTTACACAAAGTCGTAATGGTTGCTGTAGGAGGGGAGTCATCACTGACCTCTTGTTCTTCACACAGCATACCACCACTTACGACATGAAGCTGGGGGGCAGGGTGCATGGGGGGGGACACGGACAGAGCTAACCACCTTGTTAGAGAGCCCGAGGGTCGTGGCAGAATCTGCTTGTTAAGGTTTTGTGAAAAACCTTGTAGAAATCTTTGAAATCATAATTTCACTGAATTTTGTGATGTTTTTATTTTCCCAGTTTTGGTTTTACTGCATAAGCATTGGCTGTCCTGGAACTCCCTGTGTAGATCAGGCTAGCCTCAAACTCAGAGATCTACCTGCCTCTGTCCCTGTCCCTGTGCCCTCCACCCTACCCCCACTGCCTGGCTTTGCATAGTGTTTGAGGTGCTCAAAGTGAGCGTCCTTGTTCTTACTTATCTTTAATTTAAAAGGTATTGTTTCAGCAAGAGACCTATTTGTGTAAGTTTTCAGATGTCTTTGCTCAGATTGAAGAAATTGGTTCCCTTTTGTCTCTATCACTTTTGATTTTTTTATTCATTCATTTATTAAATAGTTGTTGTAGAAAGGTCTTAGGTTTTTTTGTTTTTGTTTTTCAAGATAGCGTTTCTTGTATAGCCCTGGCTGTCCTGGAACTCTCTATAGACCAGGTTGGTCTTGAACTCAGAGATCTGCCTGCCTCTGCCTCCTGAGTGCTGGGATTAAAGGCGTGCGCCACCAACACCTGGGTGAAAGTCTTAGGTTTTATCAAATGCATGTTCTAAATTTGTGTTTCAGAAACGTGGTCTCTGGTAAATTAGCTATCTTTTTCTTGTAGTGCTGGTTGGCACTTGGGGCCTCCCTGCTAAGGGGGTGCTTTAACACTGAGCAATGTTTCTGTATTAGCTTTTGTTCCTATGTAACTCATCTTTCTGCCGGACACGTTGCTCAATCTTTTCCCCCTCATGGCAGGCTCGCTTTGGTACACACACCTCCTCTATTCCTGTTGCTGTGATAAAGATGAATGAAAGCAATGTGGGGAAGAAAGGGTTTGTTTCCACTTACAGTTTTAGTTCGTCATTGAAGGAAGTCGGGGCAGGAACTGAAGCGGGGACCATGAGGAAGACTGCTCACCCACTTGCTCCCCATGGCTTGCTCAGTCTGCTTTCTTATGCACCCCAGGGCCACCTGCCTAGGGACGGCACCACCCACAGTGGGGTGGGCCTTCCCGTGCCAATCATTAATCAAGAAAAGCCCCCACAGACTTGCCTACAGGCCAGTCTGATGGACTCATTCTCAGCTGAGGTTCCGTTTTTTCCAGATGACCCTAGCTTGTGTCAAGTTGACAAAAAGCTACTAAATAGCATAATTCCTTTTTCTTTTTTCTTTTTTTTTAACATTTATTTTATTTTTAATTATATGAGTTGTGTATGTCTGTGTAGGTGAGTGTAGTTATCCACATAGGTCAGAGGCATTGGATCTCCTGGAGTTAGAGGCAATTGTGAGCATCTGGTGTGGGGGTGCTGGGGACTGAACTGGGGCTCTCTGCAAGAGCAGCACGCGCTTTTGTGTGTCTGGGTGTTTTGCCTGCATGTGGGTCTGTGCACCACATGAGTACCTAGTGCCTGTAGGGGCGAGAAAGAGGCCTCAGATCCCCTGAAACTGGATGACACACTGTTGTTTAGCTGCCATGGGGGTGCTGAGGCTTGGACCCAGCCAGCGCTCTTAACCTGAGCCATCTTTCCTTTTGAAGATTTATTTTTAGTACCGTTTCTCTCTCTCTCTCTCTCTCTCTCTCTCTCTCTCTCTCTCTCTCTCTCTCTCTCTCTGTTGTGTATTATGTGCGAGTGCAGACTGATAGGTACCATGGGACACAGGTGGAGATCAGAAAAGAACTTTTTGCTGGTCTCTGCCTCCCATACCACTGTGCTGGGACCACAGGTGTTTACCGCAGCATCCAGCCTTTTAGAGGATCAAACTCAGGCCATCTGGCTCACACAGCGAGTGCTTTTACCCACTTAAACCATCTCCCTGGCCTGAGTCACTATATCTTGGTCCCATCTGTGTACTTACACCAGGCAAACTGGCTCCTGGGTTTCAGGGGTTGTCCTGTCTCTTCCTCTCACCTCCAGTGGGAGTGCTGTGATTACAGACGTGGGCGACTTCCTTCAACACGTGTATCCAGGGATGCGAACTCCAGGCCTTACACTTGCACAGCAAGTGCTTTACATCCCCCAGCTCGTTTGTTAGGGTTTGAGTTATCCTGAGTCTTTTAGTATTGCCGGTGAAACCCACTATTAGTTTAATATTTCTTTCTGGGCTGGGGGTCGGTACAGCGACTTCTCAGCATGCAAGAGGCCATGGGTTCCATCTCCACACCAGGGGCTCTTTTGTTGTAGCGAATCTGCCCGTTTTTCATCCTGGATGCTTTTAAGGTTTGTGTTTGGGCATTGTGTTTATTTGAATTTATCCGTCTTGAGATTCATTTTGGTCCCGGAATTAGAGGATTCAGAGCTTTCATCAGCGGAGGAAGTTTCCCTGCCAGTTGCTTTCTTTAGCTGTTGCTTTGTTTCATTTTCCAGATCTGCCCTTTCTGGAATGGTTTCTTGTGCTCCTAGGAGTTGAACCCAGGGCGGTGTCCTTGCTAGGCAGGTGCTCTGTCACTGAGCTACAGAAGCCCACCCATCTTCATCTTTCGTCAGTGTACAGGCCCCAGGCAGGAAGTATGTTCACATCATTGCACAACAACCTGTGTCTCTTAGACAACTCCCCATTTCTCCCTCCTCCAGCCTTTGGCAACCTTCATTGTTGATGTTTTGCTGTGGGATGGTCTGTATGTCAAATGTGTTGCTGATTGGTCAATAAATAAATCACTGATTGGTCAGTGGCCAGGCAGGAAGTATAGGCGGGACTAACAGAGAGGAGAATTGAGAGAACAGGAAGCTGGGGGAGAGAGACACTGCCAGCCGCCATCAGGACAAGGAAGATGTAAAGTACCGGTAAGCCACAAGCCACGTGGCAAGGTATAGATTAATAGAAATGGATTAATTTAAGCTGTAAGAACAGTTAGCAAGAAGCCTGCCACGGCCATACAGTTTGTAACCAATATAAGTCTCTGTGTTTACTTGATCTGGTTTGAGCGGCTTGGGACTGGCGGGTGAGAGAGAGATTTGTCCTGACTGTGGGCCAGGCAGGAAAACTTTAGCAACAATGTTTGTTTTTGCTCTTTGAGGGGCCCGCCACCCGGCTCCCAAATAAATCACTCACAGAGGTTTATTCTTAATAATAAATGCTCGGACTTAGCTTGGCTTGTTGCTAGCCAGCTTTTCTTAAATTATCCCCATTACCTTTGGCCTCGGGGCTTTTCCTGTTCTCTTACTTCTGTAAATCTTACTCTTACTCCATTGCTGGTTGTGTAGCTGGGTGGCTGGCCCCTTGTGTTCTCCTCCTTCTCTGGCTACTTCCTTCTTTTTTCCTTCTATTTATCCTCTCTGTCTGCCAGCCTGCCTATCCTTTTTCCTGCCTCACTATTGGCTGTTCAGCTCTTTATTAGACCATCAGGTGTTTTAGACAAGCACAGTAACACAGCTTCACAGAGTTAAACAAATGCAGCATAAACAAAATTAACACACCTTAAAATAATATTCTACAACACTTCATTGTACCTTATTTCTAAGACTGTGCATTACCTTTTGTGTGTGTACCCATACTGTCTTGTCTTTTCTATGACTGGCTTGTTTTTCCTTTTTTTCCTCTAGGGCTGAGGACCAAACCCAGGGCCTTGTGCTTGCTAGGCAAGCGCTCTACCACTGAGCTAAATCCCCAACCCTGGCTTGTTTTACTTAACACGATATCATCAACACTCATCCATGTTGTAGCCTGTGGCAGGGTTACCTGCCTTTTCAGTGCTAATAGTAGTCCGTCTTATACTCATACCTCATTCTGTGTTCATGTAGGGATGAATGAAGGATATCTTCTATTTTTTGGCTGTTGTGAATAGTGCTGCTATGAACATCAGTATACAGATGTCTCTTGGAGCTCCTGCTTTCAATTCTTTTGAGTATATGCCAAAAAGCAGGATTGGTGGATCATATTGCTTTATTATTATTATTATTATTATTATTATTATTGTTATTATTATTATTATTAGTAGTGCTGAAGCTAGAACTCTCAAGTATACTCAGAAACCCTCTATCATTGGGCTCCACCCCTGGCCTTCATTTTAAATTTTTTGAGGATTTTGCATACTGTTTCCATGGTGTTTTCACTGTTTCACCTCCTCCATAATATTTAAGATCCTTTTTGCCCAGGGTTTATTTGGTATCAGACTAAATCTGTCACTATGCCTTTGTCTCCTACTTCCCAGCCTTGTGTGTGTTCTTAGAGGTATAATCAGAGGGGTCTTTTGTGCTCCTTGGACAGTTTGGATGCTTGGTCTGCTGCAGGGAAGCAACCCGTTCAAGCGTCTCTGACTCCTGAACCTCCCAGACCTTTCACTTTGTTCCCTAAGTAACTGGTCTGGTACTCGAGCACTCTCTGGGCATCCTGTGTCCTGCAGCCTTCATGGTCCTTCTACCTCTTACCTTTGGCTTGTTTTGGCCCTAACAGGTCTAACGGGCGCTCCTCCAAGCCGAGCCTTGGAGGGCAAGGCCGGCACCATTACCTCCAACGAGTGGAGCTCTCCCGACTCCCCCGAGGGGAGCAGCATCTCTGGGGGCAGCCAGGCACTGGACAAGCCCATCGACAATGATGCAGAGGGTGTGTGGAGTCCAGATATTGAGAAAAGCTTCCAGGAGGCAATGGCCATTTACCCACCCTGTGGCCGCCGCAAAATCATCCTGTCGGACGAAGGCAAGATGTACGGTAAGGAGCCTGTTGGAGCTGGGCAGAAGCTGGCCTTGTAGCTGAACAAGAATGGACACAGTAACCTTGGGTTCCCTCCAAATGACCTCCTGTGGCTTCTACTAGGTGCACAGTACTTTGTTCTGTCCTGAGTTCCAAGCACCTGAGTAAAGCTTGGGAATGGATGAGGATGGGGGAGGGGAATCTGCTGAGGAGACTGTGGGCTAGTAGAAAAAAAATTCTCCTTTGTTTGCTTGTTTTTTCGAGGTAGGGTTTCTCTGTGTAGCCCTGGTTGTCCTGGAACTCACTCTGTAGACCAGGCTGGTCTAGAACTCAGAGATCCTCTGCCTCCCAAGTGCTGAGATTAAAGGTGTGCGCCACTACTGCCTGTCAGTAGAAAATTTTATGAAGATCACTGTGGGTGGAATAGTCTATCTCCACAGGGCAGACTAAAAATCCCCCCTTCCCCTCTCCCTCTCTCCCTCTCTCCCTCCCTCCCTCCCCCCCTCCCCCGTCTCTCTTTCTCTCTTTCTTTCTAACACACATCATTATCATTATCATCATAAGCAAATGCTTGATCTCCATGCTGTCAACCTTGGATGTAAAGGTGACAAGAACAGGGGAACTTCACCTGGGAGTGTAGCTCTGACCTCACATTATGAAATGTCCTGAGTTTAATCTCCAGTACAACAAAAAGAAAGGAAAAGGAGCATGAAGGGATTCATTTGGGATAGGATTCCTCCTGCCCCCTCCTCCCTCATTCATGCATCCAGCACATGCCAAGCACTGTGGGTGCCAGGCATCGGTACAGCAGGTGTGGTCCATGTATGTGGAATGGGGAAGCGAACACAGGTACAGCTAACTGTTCTCTAAGGCAGGCCGTGAGGACCCACCCCCTTCAGCTTCTTGAGTGACCCGGGTGTGGAATACCACATTTAGCAGTCACGTGGAGAGGACCAGCAGTCTGTATGAGGCCTGTTGACTTTGGAGGAGAGGATTCTGGGAAAGTAAAAGCAGACCCAAACTGAACAGCTGCTGCAAGGCCTGGGTCAGGATTAGGTCAGGCTCAGGTCCCCATGCTCTAAACAGTATGTGGAAGGGTGGGCGCCCCAAGGTCTGATGAAGTCAGGACAGCAGAGGGCCTCTGCCCGGTTCCCACCCCAGCTGCCACCCTTTCCCCCACGTGTTTCCATTCATGAGCTTCTCTTCCCCTCTCCCCCAGCACAGGTGCTTTTCAGCTGTTGGAGGGCCCTGTGTGGGGACTGAATGTATTAGTTCCCTAGGGTGATTGACAGGTTCTCACAAGCCGGGTGGCCAAAAGCAACAGTAATGAGTTGGGAGTAGCTTTGGGGGAGAGCATGATCTTGGCGTGCATGGCTCAGGCATGAGGGTGGTATGCGGAGATACCATTTCATTTATTTTTATGTGTATGTGTGGGTGTCTGAGTGTGTATCCATGCACCACATGCGTGCAGTGCCCATGGAGGTCAGATCCCCTGGAACTGGAGTTGCCAATGGCTGTGAGCTGCCACAGGGGTGCTGGAAACCAAACCTGGGCCCTCCCTCTGCAAGAACAGTAAGTGCTCTTAACCACTGAGCCATCTCACCAGGCTGCCTCTTACCTTCTTACAAAGACACTTCTAGTCGCCGGGTTTAGGGTGTGCCTTAGCCCAGTATGACCTCAGCTTACCTAACGTACCCACAAACCCCCGATTCTAAACTAGGGCATGTGTTGGGCTGTGGCGCGGTTCAGTGGTGGAGTGTTGGCCCAGCATACATGAGGCCCTGGTCCCGTCCCCAGCATCACAGACCACGAAGTGGGCCAGTGCTGAAGCTACAGGTGTTAAGTTCTAGGGGGTTACTCCTCAGCGTTCCTCAGCTGACTAAACTGAAATCCAGTCCGGGCTCTGGGGGCAACAGAACCTGAAAGCTGCTCTTTTTGTTTTTCCTTTTACATAAAGTCTTCCCCAGGAGACCAAAACAATGCTTCCCTTCCCTTTGCTTCTTGGGAAGTAAGATCCTTCCACATTATGCGCCCCCTTTCCCCCCTTCCACAGATACCTGTTAAAACTGCTCCCTCCCCAGCCCTCCGTTCCCAGAGTCTCTCATACTTCGAGGATGGCAACCTCTGCTCTGATCACTTCTTGTTCTAACAGTTGCTCCCCCAGGGAAGCTTCCTAGAGGAGAAAGCTGACCTAGGGAGCTCCCATAGATGCCAGCTGGGGGCAGTGCTTTCCATGGGGTATCCCCCCCCCATAGCTGCCCCAGGGCTATGGGCTCTCTGGTGGAGAGCAAGGTAGATGGCAATCATAAGCTCTCATGAAGGTAGGGAAGGGCAGGAGGTATGCTGGGGAGGTGGGGATTGTATGACTGCAGAGTCTGTCAGCACCCTGGTCTGGAAGCCAGAGATTGTGCACGGGACACTGAGAAGGAATCACTGGGTGAAGAAGCAGACGAGGTGCAGAAATCATTCATTCAGCAGGGAGCAGGAGCCGAGGGTGCTGCGGGTAACTGAGAAGGCCCTGGGGTGGAGCCACAGTGTGTACAATCAATATACTAAGCCAGGCATGGTGACTGCCGTAGGGTTTCTGTTGCTGTGATGAAACACCATAACCAAAAGCAAGTTGGGGAGGAAAGGGTTTATTCCACTTACATGTCTACATCTCTCCAGTAGGGCAGGAACCTGGAGGTGGGAGCGGAGGCCATGGAGGGTATTGCTTCCGGGCTTGCTCCACCGTGGCTCACTCAGACTGCCTTCCTTTTACTTTATTTTATTTTATTATTTTTTTAATTTTTCGAGACAGGGTTTCTCTGTGTAACAGTCCTAGCTGTCCTGGAACTTGCTTTGTAAGACTGGCCTTGAACTCACAGAGATCCACCTGCCTCTGCCTTCCAAGTGCTGGGATTAAAGGCGTGCACCACCTCAGTCTGGTTTAGCCTGCCTTTTTATTGGACCTAGGACCACCAGGCTAGGGGTGGCCTCACTGACAGTGGGCTGGGTCTTCCCCTGTCAATCACTGATTAAGAAAATGTCCTACAGGCTTGCCTATAGCCCTATCTTTTTTGTTTGTTTGTTTTTTTGTTTTTCGATTCAGGGTTTCTCTGTGTAGCTTTGCACCTTTCCTGGATCTCGTTCTGTAGACCAGGCTGGCCTCGAACTCACAAAAACCCGCTTGCCTCTGCCTCCCGAGTGATGGGATTAAAGGCGTGCGCCACCGCCCGGCTACAGCCCTATCTTAAGAAGGCATTTTCTCAATTGGTATTCCCTCCTCTCAGAAGACTCTAGCTTGTGTCAAGTTAATATAACAGCTAGTTGGCACAGTGGCCCATGCCTGTGCCCAGCACTCAGGAAAATCAGAAGTTTGAGGCCAGCCTAGGCTATACAAGTCCCTGCCTATAAAAAAAAAAGAGTAACTGGAAAAAAGAGTCTGGAAAGATGGCTCAGTGTTAAGAGCTCTTTCAGGAGATCCAGGTTTGGTTTCCAGCCCCCACATCAAGCAATTCACAACTACTTGTAATTCTAGTTCCAGCAGATCTGAAGCCCTCTTCTGGCCTCCATGGGCACGGGTACACATGAGGCACACACACACACACACACACACACACACACACACACACACACACACTTCTCATTAAAAAAAAAATGCCAGGGAGATAGCTCAGCAGGTAAAAGCATTTGCTGCCACAAGCCTGGTGACCCAAGTGAAACTCCGGTAAAAAGTCACGGAAGGGCTGGAGAGATGGCTCAGCTGTTAAGAGCACTGCTGCTCTTGCAGAAGACCAGGTTCCGTTTCCAGCATCCACATAAACTCCAGTTCCAGGAGGCCCAGCACCTCTTCTGGCTCCAGCAGGCACCAGGCATGCATGGAGTACATGCCTGTACTTGTAGACCAAACACTCATATACATAAAGTAAAAGTAAAACAAGTCTTTCAAAATAAATAAACGTATTTATTTATTTTATATCCCGGCTGCAGTTTCCCCTCCCTCCTCTTCTCCTAGTCCCTCTCCCCTACCTCCACCTACCAACCCCTATCCACTCCTCCTCCATTTCTATTCAGAAAAGGTGCAGGCCTCCCATGGATATCAATAAAACATGGCATATCAAGTTTCAGTAAGACTAAGCACCTCCCTTTTTATTAAGGCTGGGCAAGGTGACCTAGTATGAGGAGTAGGGTCCCCAAATACAGGGAAAGAGTCTCTACAGCCCCTGTCCCCACTGTCAGGAGTCCCACAAGAAGACCAAGCAACACAACTGTAACATCTATGCAGAGTGCCAAGGTCAGTTCCATGCAGGCTCCCTGGTTGTTGGTTCAGTCTCTGTGAGCCCCTGTGAGTCCAGGTTAGTTGATTCTGTGGGTTTTCTTGTGGTGTCCTTGACCCCTCTGGCTTCTAGAGTCCTTTTTTCCACCTCTTCTGCAGGATTCCCCTAGCTCCACCTAATCTTCAGCTGTGGGTCCACATCTGCAAAACAAATCTTTTAAATAGTTAGATGAACTGGCCTGCATCTGTAGTCGCTCTCCTATGGCAAGATGGGGAGGTCATTCAAAAGCAGAGGTGAGAGACGCTCCCCTCCTCGAAAGCAAGGTAGAAGGCAACCACCAACTCCCCAAAACTGTTCTCCAACCTCTACATGCACACCAAGGCATGTATGTGTTCACCCTCCAACCCCGTCCCCCCAGATATGGGTGTGTGTGTCCGTCACACCCCCAGGCATGCTCATGCGTGTGCACATGGTGTCTCTCTCTCTCTCTCTCTCTCTCTCTCTCTCTCTCTCTCTCTCTCTCTCTCTCTCTCTCTCTCTCTCTCATGCACACGCACATGCACACGTGCACACGCGCACACACACTAAAATGTATTCAGTTGGCCCTGGGGTCTGGGGTCTCTGGCTGCCTGCTGTAGGTTTAGTGACATTCTGTTGTTGTAGCTGCCACCCTCTTCGCCTACAGAAACTGTCACCTCAGAGTGGAACTCTGTACCCCTTAAACAGTGGTTCCTTCCCACCCCCGACTTCTCTTTTTGA